CATCTTAAGAAGAAAACGTAAACGCCAGAGAACGGGTCATACTGGCGACTCGGCCCGCCCAGGCGAACTCGACCTCGGTACGCAAGTCCTTCCCACAGCCCACTCAATGTAGGCCAAGCAAGAAAGGCCCGGCCAGCTGGTCGACCCGCCGCTCCCTCGGCCCGAAGCCCAAGTGCGCTCCAGCTGGCCGGCCAGCCGGCCGGCCGGCCAGCGGCTCGAGCACACAGCACACATCACACCACACCACACACACACACACACACACACACCGCACACACACACACCCCCCCACACACACACCCCCACACACACCCCACCACCCCCACCCACACACCACCACCCCCACCCACAGACCCCCCACACACACCCCCCCCCACACACACCCCCCCCACACACCCCCCCCCCACACCCCCCCCCCCCACACACACCCCCCCCACACACACACCCCCCACACACACACACACCCCCCCACACACACCCCTTCATGTTGAAAGTACCGCTCCGTATTGTGGCAGTGACACGAACAGCAAAGGCAGACACCCATCACCCCCCCCTCCCCCCAGTAACCGCCATGAAAAATCTCAACGCATCTTAGAGAGTAAAAGGAAATGCCACAGAGCGCATCGTACTGGCGACTCGGCCCGCTGAGGCCAGTTCGACCTCCAGACACACGTCCCTCAGGCCACTCGATGGAGGCCAAGCAAGGAAGGCCCGGCCCGCTGGTCGACCCGCCGCTCCCTCGGCCCGCAGTCCAAGTGGTCTGCAGCCGGCCGGCGGGTCGAGCACACAGCACACACAGCACACACAGCAGGCAGGCAGGCAGGCAGGCAGGCAGGCAGGCAGGCAGGCAGGCAGGCAGGCAGGCAGGCAGACACACACACACACACACGCACGCACGCACGCACGCACACACACACACACACACCCCCTTCATGTTGAAAGGACCCCTCCGTATTGTGGCAGTGACACGAACAGCAAAGGCAGAGAGCCATCACCCACCCACCCACCCACACACACACACATACATACATACATACATACATAACCACCAGGAAGAAACTGAACGCATCTTAAGAAGAAAACGTAAACGCCAGAGAACGGGTCATACTGGCGACTCGGCCCGCCCAGGCGAACTCGACCTCGGTACGCAAGTCCTTCCCACAGCCCACTCAATGTAGGCCAAGCAAGAAAGGCCCGGCCAGCTGGTCGGCCCGCCGCTCCCTCGGCCCGGAGCCCAAGTGCGCTCCAGCTGTCCGGCCAGCCGGCCGGCCGGCCAGCGGCTCGAGCACACAGCACACATCACACCACACCCCACACACACACACACACACACACACACACACCCCACACACACCCCCCCCCACACACACACACCCCCACCCCCACACACACACACCCCCACCCCCCCCACAC